AGAGGCAAAATTTCTATTTCCGACAGTGAAGTAACCCTAAGTTTGAAGGAGCTTCATAGGAACTAAATATGACTATAAAGGAGCTTTCAAGCAGCTTTGAAGGAGCCTTATAGGAACTAAATATGGACTATGAAGGAGCTTTCAAGGAGGTTGGAACTAAAGATAGGAACTAAATAAGAACCTTAAAGGAGAAGCGATTTTTAATATCTAGATAATTTTAGATTTATATTATCGAAATCTTTAAGATAATGAGTGGATCAGTGAATCATCTCGATGTTATTTGTAGAGAGGAAAAGAAAATTATCGGCTAAATAAAACTTTAGCGGAACTAAATAAGGACTCTCAATGAGCTTTCAAGGAGCTTTATAGGAACTAAATAGGGACTATAAAGGAGCCTCAAGGGGCCTTGAATGAGCATTGTAGGAACTAAATATGGACTATGAAGGAGCTTTCAAGGAGCTTTATAGGAACTAAGGATAGGAACTAAATAAGGACTACAAAGGAGCTTTAAGGGAGCTTTGAAGGAGCTTTATAGGAACTAAAGAAAACGGGGCTTAAATAAGGAAAAAAAATGGAATGGATATATCTATAAAGTGTGTTCCTCTTGTTTAATGCGTTTTCTAAGAAGCTCTTCTCAGAGAACTTTACTCAAAACGCTAGTTTACATCGAGAGGGAGGAGAGGGAAGATGTGAGAAAAGGGGATAAGGCAAGCGCGTGATAGAAATCAGAATTGGTAACGAAATTGGTTATCAAATCTTTGAATGAAACTGGACACCCGTTATGTAGAAGTTGTTGGTTGTTTAAATGGTAAGCAAAGTTCCTTCTGAATAGCCCATATTGTGGTTGCCGTGCATCGGCGCGATGTTCGGGTCGGAGCTGAAAATTGAGAAATACAGATTTTTAGGGTAGAATTTAAATATCAAAATCTTCTAAGTAGTTTGACTCAAAATATGCTTCCCAAGTGCCCTGGAAACAACTTCTACACATACTGTATAAACATATCGAAATACACGCCCAATCGGCTCCCGATTGGGCGAAAATCAGCAACTAGTGCTAGGTCACCTTCGGTTTGACCTTCGGTTGATCCGGTCCACACGCACATTTCCCCTCACAGCCTCGACCGGGAATGCACCCTACAAGTGAAAAGTGAGAACTTAAAAGAGTCAATCTACGTCCAAAACTAGTGCTCTACTCCGCTTGCGATTTAAACATCAAACAAACGCTTGTACATAATTGTTTCCAGTTTCTCTAAAAAGATTTGATAACTATTTTCCTTCCCAAATGGCGCGTAGTTGTCATCTGTGAACCGGGATCGCTGCTAAATGCCAACTCTGAATAACAAAAAGGTAGAATTTTTAATTTTTCAAGTCAAGTTTCCGCTTTTTAGGCCTTCAACTTTCGATTAGCAAGCGTCAATATTCAGGTATGTGATAAAAATAAAAACCTAATAGAAATTGATGTGCTCGTTGGATTGGGGTTGTGTATGCAGTTGTCTTTGAGTTTTATTTCACAAAAATTGGGATTGGGGAAGGAGGAAGGGAAGATGAGAGAAAAGGGAAGGAGAGCAGACAAGCTAGTGCCTATATATAGAAATCAGAATTGGAACTGAAGATGGTTATGGAATCTTTGAATTAAACTGGACACACTTATGCACAAGTCGTTTGTGGGAAATAAAGAAAATAATCCAATGCATTAATTGGAATTAGGGAAGTAGGAAAGAGAAGAGAGGGTAGAGAGGGGGTTTAAAGCTCCCTGGCTCGTTTATCCTCGTCAGTTCCTAACTAACTCCTTAAAGGCTCCCTTTAAAGCTCCTTTACAGTCTCTATTTAGTTCCTAGAAAGCCCCTTTATAGCAACAGTTGAAAAGTACGAAATTCAGAAAAATTATATGATATCAAATTTATAACACAAAAGAAAATAGCAAACCTTTGAGCCTTGAACTTGAGCTTTGGGTCTGAGTCTGAGAGTGATTTAACAATGATGGTCTTCATTTCTTACCAAAAATTCTAGAAAAACTGTATGTTTATAAAACAAAAGAAAATAGCAAACCCGAGAGAAAAGAAAAACTATAGAACATTTGAGGCATGTCTGGCAAATATCCAGCTTTTAGCTGGATATTATAAACAGAAGAGCTTTTATTCCACAAAAGGGACTCAGTCTTTTATGGTAAAAATAGCTCAAAAATTAATTTTTCATAATTATTTTTCAACAATTAATGAAAAGTTAATTGTTGAAAAATTAATTTATATTTAAGCTCCTTTATAGTCCTATAAAGCTCCTTCAAAACTCCCTAGAAGCTCTTATTTAGTTCCTATATAGCTCCTTTAAAACTGCTTGAAAGCTCCCTTATAGTCACTACTGGGTTCCTATAAAGCTCCTTCTAAGCTCCTTGAAAACCGCTTTATGGTTCTTATTTAGTTCCTCTCTATCTGCTTTAAACCTCCCTCCCGAGAATGCATGGATTCAAGACGGGCAAAGAATCCCGATCTAATCATACGAACGAGCGGTGAATATAGAGAATCAGATTTTATGCTAATTCAGGTATTCTTTACTATTATCTAGAGTGTAAAAACAGCCACACACATAAAAATCTGAAAAGGGTGTCTAGAGAAAGCATTGGTGTGGCTGCCAGCCAGACACTTAATGCAGCTAAGAATTCTTTTGTACTTTTGCAGAAATCCAGCTTTGAATCTAGTAGAATGATTCCATGATCTAAAAGATTTCTAATAGGGTAAGATTCCTAAATAGGGACTATAAAGGAGTTTTATAGGGGCTTTCTGGGAACTTACCTTTAAAGAGCTTTCAAGAGAGTTTTGAAGGAGCTGCATAGGAACTAAATAGGTACTATAAAGAAGCCTTCACTCATAGTAGACTGCAATTTCACGCTGATTCAAGAAATCTCAACAGCTTGACGTGAAGCCATCGATTTAAGAAACTGGTTGATTTTTATTTCTTGACTCTAGCTAAACTGCAAGGAATTTTCGAGAATAAAAATTGAATTGTCTTGATGGCCCTGTTGTGAACTTTTTCTCCATTTCTATCACTGTTTTAAAACTACATTCCATAAATTCTTATAGCTAAGTTTTTTTAATTCCTTTGTTATAAAGTGATTTTCAACCAACCATGTGCTCTTTGAGATGTGCCTCACGTTCCCCAATAGAGACCCACTTTTGAAAGCCCTAAATTGATTAACGATTTTAAACTCGACGGCTTGTTGAGCTTACTTATGATTAGATTTTAGTATTAACTGACGATAATCTCTAAAAACGAATCAATTTTTGTGAGTTGATTTGCTACACTTAATTTAATCTCATTTTTAGAGATGGAAAGATGAAAACAACGCACACCGGAAGCATATCTCGACCCAATGCTGGTCATAAATATTTGGCAAAAAGTTTCGAAGACACAGGACGCATCCCTAATCAGTTTGCTTCAAAAAATTTCCACGTGATCACTTGTCCCTCTCAGCTCACGTTTTTGATCGTTTGAATCCGATTTTTTGTTTTAGGTTGTTATCATTCCAGCTTCCATATAAATAGTATTCGGACTGACAAGGATTTCGATCTGCCATCAGTTCACAGCTTCTAACACATACGTCTTCTCTCCTCTCTTGCTCTTCTCTTCGCCGTTCTCTCTTTTAAAGCTCCTTTATCCCTATTTAGCTTTTAGAAAGCTCCTTTAAAGCTCCTTCTTTATCGTCCTTATTTAGTTCCTAGCTCTAACTAGCTCTAACACAAGCAATGCGTCTGCTCTCCTCTTGTCTCGCTCTTCTCTTCGCCGTTCTTCTCGTCTTCAGTGGGTTCAAGTTTAAATAAATTAATCTTCTCAAAGTTTTATTTAATTAGCGCATTTCTCAGCCTATAAATTGCTTCAAGTTTTTGGCTTATTAGAAAGATGGCCCAAATGGCTTCGAAGCTCAAAAGAAATCAAAGATTTTAGCTTCTTCTGCCATGGTCAACGCTGTTGCCGTCCCGGCATGCGACTCCTCTTGCCCGGTGAGTTAAATTCTCAATCAAAATATATTCTGAATGTTGCTACAAACACCGTTAAACAAGGCGGATAAAGGCTTAGTTTAAAAAATTAGTTTTGTCGTCACAATTTATTTATATTATTTTTAGAGTGGTGTCGTCGCTTGCTGCGTTTCAAAAGACTTTAATGGTGGTTCCTGCATTGGTGGAGCCGCCTTCTGCAACTAAAAACCAGAATACCTTTCAATGTTGTCTGCAATCATTTTGTTTTCTTATATAAACTGAATCGAATGGTTTTTCCACAAAAACGAGAAATTTTTCTATTAAAATTTTTGGTGTCCAGCTATAGTTCTTCGTCCTGGTTTTCGTTACACTTTGGAGCTTTGATGGGAGCTGAGTTATGCTTTATGCTTCTGTGCTGGGTTGTATAAAAACATCCCTTTTGTAAACAAAAAAGATGTTTTAATCTTCAGTTTTGAATACAAATCCACAAAAACAGCAAGCGATTTTGCAATAGCATAACGTTGTGCAGCTGGTTCAAAAGTCGTCGCTAGGATGTCATCATTTTCTTTATATTTATTCTCTTTATCCGATTTTATTTTTCCCTTCTTTGGTAATCTTTGGCTTAATCTGATGATCAATAACTGATCTGAACTGATCAATAACTTTATTTTTCTTTTCCCTCATGGAAATCAATTCTATTTCAAACAAAACAAAAAGAAACATTTAGAGTAAAAGAAAGAACCGAAGTTTTAGATTGTAAATCTAGGAAAATTGATGCCATTGGGTATTGTATAAATCATTTTGGTCAGTTAGTCAATCATAAGAGATTAGATAGATTGAAAGAGAAATGAAGTCATGAGTCAATGGAAATCTTTATGGAAATCTCTTTATGGAAATCAAATTTTAAGCATAAGCTTTATCTCATTTACAAAAGACTAAAAAATACTTTTTTTTGACTAGTTTAGCTTCACTCAACTACTAATACATTAAAACTGATCAGCAGTGATTCTGTCAGTGATTCTGTCGATGATGGCCACAAGGAGTCGATCGGGGATTGGCAGGGACGGTGGGGGAGTGATCGGCGGATGGAGCAGACTCCTCTCCACTCCCACCAAACAATACTCACCCACTGATGACTCTCCATTTCGAGCGAAGACCAATCAAGCGCACCTCCACATCCATTTCTTCATCGCCTACCTCAACATCATCCACATGAATCCCGAATTCCCTATCATCAACCCCGCCAAGAACCGTGCTTTTCAGAAAGATTGTCAATGGGAAACGGCCAACAATGGTCATTATACTATTACATTCATTGGAATTGGTCCGATTATCTTAAAAATCGGTTTCTTCTCAATCCGGACAAACATTTGTGTTTATGTTTATGACAAGATTATAAGTAATAGTTAAGAATCTCAGCAATTCTGTACCGGGGATTGGCAGGGACGGTGGGGAGTGATCGGCGGACGGAGGAGACTCCTCTTCACTCCCACCAAACGATTCAAACCAGGGCGAACCAGGGCAGAACCTGGAAAAGCAATCCCTGCTTGAATCTAATCCTTAAAAAACACTCAAAACTTATTGAGAAAAGTGCTGTTCAAATCTAAGATTCGTGATTTAAAACAATAGCAATTATTCAAATAAATTCAAAACAAATGTCGACTTTCCAGAATCAGCGTGAATCCCCATCGATGGAGTCACCCGAAATGCAACGATACGGCGACTCGCCTCGAAGTTTCAACCAAAGTGAAGTAAGAAATTAATTTACAACACAATTCCTCAACATCTTCTTTTAAAAAAACAATTTTTTAATTATCGATCCGATTTTCTTTTCCCCTTAAACACAATTCTTGTTTTTCCTCTTCTTTTTTATGTAATTTGATTGCTCAGATAAGCACGAGAAGAGCATGAAAACAAAGTCGATTGGATCAAAGATTTTGACATAAATTTTGGTTTAAGATTTTTTCTTTCTGAGTTGTTGGGTTCATTGGAAGTATGTTAGAGAGAAATTTGAAGAAAAAAGCTGTTTCGCAGAGAAAGAGAAAAGCTGTTTCAGCTTTAAAGAGAAAAGCTGTTTTACAAAGCGATCAGCTGTTTCATAAACTTTACCCTTTTATTTATGTGTACCCCCTTAATGAAATCCAAACTTTTACCAAATAATTGATCAAAAAGAGACATTATCTTTGAGTTTTGAGTTTTGATTGAGTTTTGATTAGTCAATGTGTTTTGTTGAGTCATAAAATAATAGCACGATCTATTCTTCCCCAAAAATCGCCTTGTTTACGTCTAGTTTGTGTGGATCTCTCATCGAAAGAGAAGGCAGCTGTTTTTCGCGGGCTCTCCTATTCTCTATCACGCGTACTTTCCAATTCTTTCTCCATTTTCTTTCTCCAATCTCTAGTTTATCTAGACTCTTGTTTAGTTAGAATTAGTTTAGAATCTTGCAAAATATAACAGAAAAGCCTCTCATATGATTTCAATATTTTCATAAAGCCGGGTCATTTAGTTACTGGATGAATATCTGATTGATGAGATCCTCTCGTTGGAGGACGAGCAGCGCACTCGGGGCAGCAAACCACACCAAACACCGGTAGGCAGATATTCTCTTTCTTCAATCTAAAAGCTCATGTTGTTTTGTGAAAAGTTGTGTTGAAAAGAGGTTGGCGAGGAGTGGTTATTACACATACTAAGATCAAACACAGAATTGTCCTGATTATAGATATATTTTGAGAGATAGACCACCATATTTTGTGAGATAGACCATATCTAAATATAGTTTCGATTTCTAATTATAGTTTTCTATTGGATTTCGATATCAAAAAGTAGCCCTGAATTTCAGCTGTTTTTTGATACAAAAGACGCATTTTTAGGTAGAGTAGTACATATAGCTGTAGCCGAACTGTAGACTGTACTTTAACGTCAAGTACTATTGCTGTAGCTGAACAGATAGAGTAGTAATACGGGAGATGAACGGTAAGCAAAATTATCATGAAATGAGGCTAGATTTTATTTGGGTAAAATAGATGAATGGGGATTTAGTTCCAAGATTCTGTCTTCTTACTTATCTTACTGTAGCTGAGATGTTGATAAAGTGTCTTAAGTTGTCCTGAGATGTAGGCTACTAATAAGCTTCGTTATGCTAAGCTAGAGCTAACGTTAAATCAGCTAACTGATTTAACGACTATAGCTGAATATTTACATATTTTATCCTCTCAATTTCCAGCTGACCGCCCCGTACTCTTGTGCAGACAATTTGACGAATCTCTCCTCGCAAGGAAGACCGATTCCCGGAAACAACTCTTCAGGTGAGGTGTTCAAGATTGATTTGTTTTTACGAATCAAATAGGGAATTGGGGAAGAGGTAAACAGGTAAACGAGAAAAAACAATGACGTGTCGGAAAGGGGTCAAGGGACACAAAAGAGGGGAAAGTTCGCTCAAACCGGCGCTGTTTTCATGATCTGAAATGTCTAGAGAAAGCATTGGTTTAGCTGCCAGCCAGACACTTCATACAATTAGCAATCCTTTTGTACTTTTGCATAAATCCAGGTTTGAATCGAGTAGAATGATTCTATGATCCAATTCCGACCGGGAGTGTCTGTCTCCTCTCTCGGAGATGAACTTTGTGTGGTGTATTGCCCCTTCTCTGCCCTTATTTATTTGTTGGGGAAACCTGTTTATAAGAGAAAGTCATGTGATGGTCAGATATCCCGCTCGTTTCAATCACCCTTCTTTGCCATTTCATTACCTTAGAACCTTTTTGTTCTTCGTTTCTTTTCCCCTAGTATTGGATGATTTTCAAACTTCAAATTTTTCAAGCCGATGTTAGACTGGAGTAAAGAAGGTTAGTAATGGATTAGGAATTGCTTATTATTGCTATCTATTTACTCATTATCATAAACAAATAACTTTTGACAATGAAAGACGAAAGACAAACGAAAGACAATGAAACCAAGGCATTATAAAAGGCATTATCATTATAAAAGCATTATCATTATAAAGCGCCGGTTTGAGCGAACTTTCCCCTCTTTTTGTGTCCCTTGACCCCTTTCCGACACGTCATTGTTTTTCTCGTTTACCTGTTTGCCTCTTCCCCAATTCCCTATTTGATTCGTAAAAACAAATCAATCTTGAACACCTCACCTGAAGAGTTGTTTCCGGGAATCGGTCTTCCTTGCGAGGAGAGATTCGTCAAAGTGTCTGCACAAGAGTACGGGGAGGTCAGCTGGAAATTGAGATCGTGGAAATTTAGACCGGCTCACGATATTCCATCGAATTCTGTAGAGTACAGTCATTTGCTGTTAGATTTGTGTAACTGTGTATTCGGTTATCTTTGAGAAATTGAAAGTTTTATTTCACAAAAGCCATGTCTATATAAAGTGTTGTGAAATAAAGAAAAGAATCGAATGGATGAATGGATTGGGGAAGGAGGGAAGGGAAGCGAAGAGAGGGAAGAGGGGAAGGTGAGGAAAAAGGAAGAGAGGGAAGAGGAGCGAAGGGAAGGGATGAGACAAGCGAGTGCCTATATAGAATTCAGAATTGGGGAACGGGGGTGAATGCGAATCAATTGGGACGTTTAGACCGGCTGAAAGTACATACAAACGAATGAAATATGATTGCATGAATATGATTGCAGACTTTGCCTGTCTCTCCGCCCGGCCTCATCGTCTCTTTCACACAAAGCAATTTTAATAGATACATTTTTTTTCCATAAATATACAGAATCATCAATTTTAGGGTGACTTTGATTGTGATCTAGATAATTTACAGTTTGAAGTTTACAGTTTGAAATCAGTGCCAAACGCGTTAGATGGAGAATCTTCCTATAGCTCTTCTTTCTATAGCACTTAGAATCTTTCTATAGCTGTAAATTTGCCTTCAGCTTCATTTTGTGCTCGTAAACGCACTACTTCTCGTGCACTAGTCTTCTTGCGAAAACGAGCAGTTTATAGAACAAAAAAAACTATGAAGAATTCGATGTGCCAGAAGGTGTACGTTTGCAATTTTCGAAAGAGTAATGTCGAAATCCCAAATCACCCTCACATTTGATGAATAAAACAAATAAAACATAGTAAACAAAACAAAAAAATTTGCATTTAAAATCCCAAAAAATAAAAAAAATGAAAAAATGAAAAGAAAATGAAAAGGAACTCGAAAAAGAAACGAAAAAGAAATTTCTCAGCTTTTTTTTGAATGTATCAGAGAAGAAATTTCAGCTAAAAACTTGTCTAATGCCAAGAGCAAAAGGGATTATGAATTTGAGTTGAAACTGTAAGAACTTAAAAAAAACCATTTAGGTGGTTCAGGCCACTCAGGCTCACCCGTCGGAATGGGAATCCGAGGCGCGATGCAATTCCGCCACGTCGTCTCCTCGTCAGCTCCCTCCTCATCGGATATGGATCAATTGGTAAACTTTATGATATAATAGTAAGCTGTGGATATAATAGGTCTCTGATATATAGGTATCTGATATGTCTAAATGATTATTATTGTTTGCAGGTACGTGGCTCGTCGCAAGGACCCGTTCCCAGTGCCGATGATCCGGAACACTACCGCGATCGCAGAAAGAAGGACATTCACAATATGAGTGAGTTCATTTCATTCATAATTATCAATGAAATCAGAAGTTTTTATTAGCTAGGTTTTTCAGTTGAACGCCGTCGTCGCTATAATATCAACGACCGAATCAAAGAATTAGGAGTTATGCTGCCTAAAGGAGCCTCCGAGTGAGTTGAAATCTAATTTCAAGAAAATGCCACTAAATATTTACTTCCCGTTATCAGGCATTTTCTCTTTAGAGCCGAATTTAGAGAGATGAAGTTAAACCAAGGGACGATTCTCAAAGCATCTTGTGACTACATTCGACAATTGCAAAAGGATCGAGATGTAAGTGAAAAGAAAAAAACTTCTATGCAAAGAAGAGCTTTCAGAGCATGATTAAACAACAGCAACAACAAAACAAATTGGAAAACGCTGCGAAACAATACGCCGATCGAGTCAGAGTGAGTGAGGGAAATGGCTGGGCTTGGCTTGGCTTGGCTTGGCTTGGCTTGGCTTGGATTGGCTTCACCATTCAATTCAATGATTCTTCAGCTACAGTACTGGACAATGAAATATCATATTTGAAAAATGATCGTCACTTTCGCGCGTCTGTAACTCCCTTGTCTTTGAGTTTAAACTATTAGTGTTACACATTTTCTGAAAGCTCTTTTCAAGGGCTACACAATGATAATATTAATATTTAGAAATACGGTAAAGACAAGGGAGTTACAGACGCGTGAAAGGGACGATCTTTTTCTAAAACATGAGATTTCATTGTCGTGTGTAGTGTAGATACTCGTTGAACCATTCTACTAAGCGAGTAAATAAAGATAGATAAAAGATACGCATTCTATGCACTCAATTCTAGGAACTCGAGGAGATCTTGGCGAAGAATGGCCTCAACGCGCCTACCAAAGCGCTTCCTCCACTCCCAGCCATCCCCTCCGCTCCTCGACCAATCAAACAGGAGATCGAAGGGAGTCGAAATCAAACCCCATGCGGATCACTTGTAAGCGATCGCTCAACTCTTCTCTTGTCTCCCCTCGAAAAGACTCACAATCAATCGGCTCCCGATTGGGTACTAAAAAAAGCAGCAATTCTTTTTGGAAACTAGTACTAGGGCCCTAAATTTATGTTCTTTATTTTGCTCTTATTCTCTATTCTTTTAGTCCTCATCGGGTTTTATGTCACAACTCTCTGACAAGACGGCTGCGATCGCCTCGCCGCTAGAACGGATCCATTATGGATCCGATCAATTCTTTCGCTCAAGTCCACAAGATTATCAGACGCCACAATGGAGGTGGAGAAGTTATAGATATATCAAACCAAACTTTGTCTAATTATATTCTATTGATTGTTTACAGTATTCAGATAAAGTTATTGTCAAATAGCAGAAAGTGGTCGAATTTGGTTGCAAAGTAGAAGCTACAGTAGCTTATGGTAGAAGTAGAAGCAAAGTAGTAGAAGTAGAAGCAAAGTAGAAGCTACAGTAGCTTATTGAAAAACTGTAGAAGATTACTGTATCAAATACTTGCCTTTTCTATTAGCTGGATACTGTAACAATCATTCAATAGCTTACAATTAGTTATTTAGTTTATAGTCAGTAAGTATTCAATATCTAGTTTCTAATAGTATTTCTCAATAGCTCTAACATTTGCAGATACCGCCCCGACAGCCACAAAGGGATGCACCACGGGCCATTCCCCGATTTGATCATGGAGTCGTGTCTTGAGGTAGAATTGAGATAATAGATAAAAACAATATATCATTTTATTTAAATCTAATCCTAATATCTAGATTCTCATTTAAATATGAAATATCTAAATTGCTCTGCATACAGAACAATCCACTCCTCCACTCGGACCCGTTGATGTCACAAGCCGGTAGCCCGTCGCCAAACCTTGCCGCCAGTCAGATGAGGCCCGATATCTCGTGGGATCCATCGAATTTCAGGTATGATGAAAAGAAAATGGGATCCAATATAGAAATATGTACGATACTTTGCTCCCTAGAAGTCGAAAATCTTGATTAAGCCTTGTTTAGATTATGCTGAAGCTGGGCACTTAACATAGGCTATACAGTCAATAGCGTTTAAGTCCAAGGATACTGTAGCCCAAGAGTACTGTAGCTCAAGGATACTGTAACCCTAGAGCACAACAGTCCAAGAATACTATAGCTAGGGATATTGTAAACCTTGAGTACTGTAGTCCGAAATACTGTAGCTGAATATTTCTTGTATGTTTATACAGTATGTTTAGAAGTTGTTTCCAGGCCACTTGGGGAGCATTTGTCAAGCTATTTAGAAGATTTCGGATATTTAGAGGATATCTAATATTTCAATTTTCCCCGCAAAGTCTCAATTCTTCGATTTTCAGCCCCGACGGGAACACCGAACCGATGCACGCCAATCACAATATGGACTATTCATAAAGAACTCGCTATTCAAATATACAACAAACGACTTGTACATATGTGTATCCAGTTTCATTCAAATATTTGTAAACCATTTTCGTTTCTTTCTTCATATCGTTTCTATTTGATCACTGAAAAACCCCCCTTTGTAAATCCGGTGTGTTTCCCTTTTTTAAAGGTGAAACCCATTGAAATGTGTACAACTTGTGTCGAAGAAAATTTCGACAGAGTGAAGAAAGGAAACGGGATATAGAATGGCTCAGCATTCAGTTTAAAAGACTCAGACTCACTCAGGGACCCGAACTCGGGTTGTTTTCCCACCGATTGAGCCATTTCTTCCCTTTCTCCCGCCATTCTCTCTCGGGTCCACAATCAACAGGAACGATTTTATTTCTTTTTATATTTCTTTTTGTCATTATTTTGATTCATTTGATTGGTTCATTTGATTTGATTGGCACCTCTAGATCGATTGAAAAATCATCCCCACATCTATCATTGGATATCTCAAATTTCCATACAAGTTAACAGATGTTTAATTGAAGCCTGGCTTAGCCTAGGATCCTAGGCTAACTCCATTGAAGCATTGGAGGCTAGTCTGCTCCATTGAAGCATTGGAGTCTAGTCTAGCTCCAGCCTAGTCTAGCTCCAGCAGCCTAGTCTAGATCCAGCAGCCTAGTATGGCTCCAGTAGCCTAGTCTGGCTCCAGCCTAGTCTAGCTCCAGCAGCCTAGTCTAGCTCCAGCAGTCTGGCTCTCCCTCCAGCCTAGTCTACTGTAATCCTGATCTGTTTGACCTAAGCTGGCCTAATCCATCCAATCACCAATCAATTTTCGTTATACTTATAATTTCGCTATCAACTACACATGATATGCTATTTGTGGCCTGTCCGTCGATTCCCAGTGTGTGTATTTCCGAAATTCCTTTTTTGGTAAATCCCCTTCGAATCAATTCATCATCATCAAAAGCAAGAACAAGAAAGCCGTGTACATTCTATCCCGTGAATTTGCTGTTCTATTTCAAATTTCGTTTTACTATTCGTAAATTATTCCTTTTATACAAAAATTTCTTCTCTGATACATTCAAAAAAAAAGCTGAGAAATTTCTTTTTCGTTTCTTTTTCGAGTTCCTTTTCATTTTCTTTTCATTTTTTCATTTTTTTTATTTTTTGGGATTTTAAATGCAAATTTTTTTGTTTTGTTTACTATGTTTTATTTGTTTTATTCATCAAATGTGAGGGTGATTTGGGATTTCGACATTACTCTTTCGAAAATTGCAAACGTACACCTTCTGGCACATCGAATTCTTCATAGTTTTTTTTGTTCTATAAACTGCTCGTTTTCGCAAGAAGACTAGTGCACGAGAAGTAGTGCGTTTACGAGCACAAAATGAAGCTGAAGGCAAATTTACAGCTATAGAAAGATTCTAAGTGCTATAGAAAGAAGAGCTATAGGAAGATTCTCCATCTAACGCGTTTGGCACTGATTTCAAACTGTAAACTTCAAACTGTAAATTATCTAGATCACAATCAAAGTCACCCTAAAATTGATGATTCTGTATATTTATGGAAAAAAAATGTATCTATTAAAATTGCTTTGTGTGAAAGAGACGATGAGGCCGGGCGGAGAGACAGGCAAAGTCTGCAATCATATTCATGCAATCATATTTCATTCGTTTGTATGTACTTTCAGCCGGTCTAAACGTCCCAATTGATTCGCATTCACCCCCGTTCCCCAATTCTGAATTCTATATAGGCACTCGCTTGTCTCATCCCTTCCCTTCGCTCCTCTTCCCTCTCTTCCTTTTTCCTCACCTTCCCTCTTCCCTCTCTTCGCTTCCCTTCCCTCCTTCCCCAATCCATTCATCCATTCGATTCTTTTCTTTATTTCACAACACTTTATATAGACATGGCTTTTGTGAAATAAAACTTTCAATTTCTCAAAGATAACCGAATACACAGTTACACAAATCTAACAGCAAATGACTGTACTCTACAGAATTCGATGGAATATCGTGAGCCGGTCTAAATTTCCACGATCTCAATTTCCAGCTGACCTCCCCGTACTCTTGTGCAGACACTTTGACGAATCTCTCCTCGCAAGGAAGACCGATTCCCGGAAACAACTCTTCAGGTGAGGTGTTCAAGATTGATTTGTTTTTACGAATCAAATAGGGAATTGGGGAAGAGGCAAACAGGTAAACGAGAAAAAACAATGACGTGTCGGAAAGGGGTCAAGGGACACAAAAAGAGGGGAAAGTTCGCTCAAACCGGCGCTTTATAATGATAATGCTTTATAATGATAATGCCTTTATAATGCCTTGGTTTCATTGTCTTTCGTTTGTCTTTCGTCTTTCATTGTCAAAAGTTATTTGTTTATGATAATGAGTAAATAGATAGCAATAATAAGCAATTCCTAATCCATTACTAACCTTCTTTACTCCAGTCTAACATCGGCTTGAAAAATTTGAAGTTTGAAAATCATCCAATACTAGGGGGAAAAGAAACGAAGAACAAAAGGTTCTAAGGTAATGAAATGGCAAAGAAGGGTGATTGTGGAAACGAGCGGGATATCTGACCATCACATGACTTTCTCTTATAAACAGGTTTCCCCAACAAATAAATAAGGGCAGAGAAGGGGCAATACACCACACAAAGTTCATCCCCGAGAGAGGAGACAGACACTCCCGGTCGGAATTGGATCATAGAATCATTCTACTCGATTCAAACCTGGATTTATGCAAAAGTACAAAAGGATTGCTAATTGTATGAAGTGTCTGGCTGGCAGCTAAACCAATGCTTTCTCTAGACATTTCAGATCATGAAAACAGCGCCGGTTTGAGCGAACTTTCCCCTCTTTTTGTGTCCCTTGACCCCTTTCCGACACGTCATTGTTTTTTCTCGTTTACCTGTTTACCTCTTCCCCAATTCCCTATTTGATTCGTAAAAACAAATCAATCTTGAACACCTCACCTGAAGAGTTGTTTCCGGGAATCGGTCTTCCTTGCGAGGAGAGATTCGTCAAATTGTCTGCACAAGAGTACGGGGCGGTCAGCTGGAAATTGAGAGGATAAAATATGTAAATATTCAGCTATAGTCGTTAAATCAGTTAGCTGATTTAACGTTAGCTCTAGCTTAGCATAACGAAGCTTATTAGTAGCCTACATCTCAGGACAACTTAAGACACTTTATCAACATCTCAGCTACAGTAAGATAAGTAAGAAGACAGAATCTTGGAACTAAATCCCCATTCATCTATTTTACCCAAATAAAATCTAGCCTCATTTCATGATAATTTTGCTTACCGTTCATCTCCCGTATTACTACTCTATCTGTTCAGCTACAGCAATAGTACTTGACGTTAAAGTACAGTCTACAGTTCGGCTACAGCTATATGTACTACTCTACCTAAAAATGCGTCTTTTGTATCAAAAAACAGCTGAAATTCAGGGCTACTTTTTGATATCGAAATCCAATAGAAAACTATAATTAGAAATCGAAACTATATTTAGATATGGTCTATCTCACAAAATATGGTGGTCTATCTCTCAAAATATATCTATAATCAGGACAATTCTGTGTTTGATCTTAGTATGTGTAATAACCACTCCTCGCCAACCTCTTTTCAACACAACTTTTCACAAAACAACATGAGCTTTTAGATTGAAGAAAGAGAATATCTGCCTACCGGTGTTTGGTGTGGTTTGCTGCCCCGAGTGCGCTGCTCGTCCTCCAACGAGAGGATCTCATCAATCAGATATTCATCCAGTAACTAAATGACCCGGCTTTATGAAAATATTGAAATCATATGAGAGGCTTTTCTGTTATATTTTGCAAGATTCTAAACTAATTCTAACTAAACAAGAGTCTAGATAAACTAGAGATTGGAGAAAGAAAATGGAGAAAGAATTGGAAAGTACGCGTGATAGAGAATAGGAGAGCCCGCGAAAAACAGCTGCCTTCTCTTTCGATGAGAGATCCACACAAACTAGACGTAAACAAGGCGATTTTTGGGGAAGAATAGATCGTGCTATTATTTTATGACTCAACAAAACACATTGACTAATCAAAACTCAATCAAAACTCAAAACTCAAAGATAATGTCTCTTTTTGATCAATTATTTGGTAAAAGTTTGGATTTCATTAAGGGGGTACACATAAATAAAAGGAAGAAGAAATGAAATGTAAATATCATTTGTAAATAAAATCAATTCAAATCAGGCTGAGAGGGTTTGTCTATTCCGACCGGGATGATTCTATGATCCAATTCCGACCGGGAGTGTCTGTCTCCTCTCTCGGAGATGAACTTTGTGTGGTGTACTGCCCCTTCTCTGCCCTTATTTATTTGTTGGGGAAACCTGTTTATAAGAGAAAGTCATGTGATGGTCAGATATCCCGCTCGTTTCAATCACCCTTCTTTGCCATTTCATTACCTTAGAACCTTTTGTTCTTCGTTTCTTTTCCCCCTAGTATTGGATGATTTTCAAACTTCAAATTTTTCAAGCCGATGTTAGACTGGAGTAAAGAAGGTTAGTAATGGATTAGGAATTGCTTATTATTGCTATCTATTTACTCATTATCATAAACAAATAACTTTTGACAATGAAAGACGAAAACGAAGACAATGAAACCAAGGCAGGAGGTGGTCTGGTTGGCTGGCTTGGCTGGCTTGGCTTGGCTGGCTGGCTTGGCTGGCTGGGTTGGCTGGCTGGCTTGGCTGGCTGGCTTGGCTGGCTGGCTTGGCTGGCTGGCTTGGCTGGCTGGCTTGGCTTAGCTAATCAAATTTTTAAATCTTTTTAACTTTAACTAGTCTAAGAATCTAGAAAACGTTGATTTTCTTGAAATAATTTCATTGTTGAATGATCGCCTTCCCTTTTCAAGTTTCAAGTGAGTCAATCAGCTGATCGAATCGAATCCATCAAAAGAGAACGGATCGATCGAATCATTTTCTCTTTTTTATCTCATAAAAGGTCTCTTTTCTTTTCTCTTTTCATTATCAGGAGATCTCAAATTTCACTTTT